CTGACTAATATTTCCCACTTCCTGGTCCACAGTTTCTATGACCTCTACTCTTCTTTCTCTTTCATTCTCTTCATTCATTAGCTCCTCAAAATACTCCTTCCATGTTCCGGTCATGGTCTCCTCACTTTTTGGAACATTACCATTCCTATATTTCACAAGGCTAACTTGTTGCACATCCTTTCTAGCTGGATCCATCTGTCTCACCAATTGGTACTAGTCCTTCTTGCCCACTTAGTGTCCTTCCTCTCATATAACTCATCTTCTCCCATGCAGTCTCTCACACAAAGCCTTCTGCTTTGTCTTAGTTACCTCCTTTTTTGCTGTACATTGCATCTCATTATATTCCTGTCTCCTCTCTTCAGTCCTCTCACAGTCATATTTCTTTGTGGCTAACATCTTTCTTTGAACAGCTTCCTGAACTTCACTATTCCACCACCAGGTTTCCTTACAATCTCGTTGCTAAATGTACTAATTTTAGTAAAACTCTGAGGTTTTACATCATATTGTTAGAACAAACTGGGTGATTTTAATCAGTCATATCTCCCAAACAATTGATAAAAGCCTAACTCACAATTTAACCGCCAATTTTATCCATTCTTACTGTTCCTGTTCCATGGAGGCATACATCTAACCAAACTATTTCCAGTCCATGCTTGTTTACAGGCATTGCTCTTCGGGACATGTACAGGTGTTTTTGTTGCCTTGAGAAAGAAATGTTGACATTATAGGAGCCAAAGTGTCATCAGAAAGCTGCAGTGTTTTGGGCCATGTTACCCCTGGCAACCACACCAGGAGAGAATGATGTGAAAAACACGATGGAAGCAAAGAAGAAACAGGATAAAGATGGCAGATGCTGAGAGCTTCCTGTCTACTGATGCGTTAAACTGATGAATAATTTCTGTCTTTTGCTGAATGTGAACAAAAGAGTCATTTTGTTTATAAGTATTATTCAACATAATGTGACATAATAAAAAGATAATAGAGAGAAATAGCCACTAATTGCAAGGTTTGGGAACTTCCATCCTTGCCTTTGGCTAACTTCTGTGACCTATGCCTTAGGCCAGCCTCAGGCTCTTTACAAATGCTGGAGAATTTGTCTCCCTGTTTCAATCCAAAACTCACTCTGTGAGCAGAAAAAATAATGAGCAAGGAGACGAGCACAAAGAATGAGGCTGTGGATTATCACTGAATGAGTGGAAGGCCTAAAATATTCATTGTTTTATTTTTCCTTAAGACTAACGTCAGAATGTCTGAGAAAGGAGAACAAAAAAAGGAACCAAAGAAGAGCATGATAAGAGTGGGTGAAGATGAGTTATATAATTCATTCCAGCCCTTCAAATACTTTGTTTCCAGCATTCTCTAACTATTTGAGAGTGATAGAGATAGGTTACACAATCAATTTACCTTTCAAGAAATTCTTCAGAGGGTGGCCCATGACTCATTATTAGAGCTATCTCCTCACAGCGGAAGGCACAGGTTCGTCTCCTGGCCTTTCTGTGTGGAGATTGCATATTCTCTTGGTGCATGTGTAGGTTTTCTCAAGGTACTTCAGTTTCCTCCCACAGATCAAAAACATGCATGCTAAGCTAAGTGGTAAGGCAAAACTGTCCTTAGGTGTGTAGGAGAGTATGAATGGTCTTGTGTGGTCCTGTGATGGACTGGAGACCTGTCCAGGGTGTCCCCCCAGTAACTACTCCAGATAAGCATCAGCTCCCTGTGACCCAGCAAGGAGACGTGTCATTGTGTTCAACCCTAGCTCTACCACTGTCACTGATCCTGCAAACCTGCACTCCCTTCGGCCACATCTAAAACAATCTGTTAACAATCTCAGGATAGTTTTAGACTCTGACTTTAAGTTTAATAAACAGATACATTCTGTTCTTCAAAAAAGCTTCTTTCAGCTAAGGCAGATAGCTAAGCTCAAGTCCGTCCTGTCCAGATCCGACCTTGAAAAACTAGTCCATGCATTTATTACAACCCGGCTGGACTACTGTAACTCGCTTTATGCTGGGGTCAGTCAGGTCTCTCTCTCACGTCTCCAGCTTGTCCAAAATGCTGCAGCTCGGCTACTAACAGGAACTC